AATAAAGCATGCTGTTCTTTGAAGACCATAAACAGAATGATATTCCTGGGAAAAAAAAATATCTTCTCTGTCCTCCAGCCAAGCAGGTCAAAGAATTATATGCAAATAATACAACGACTATAAATACACGAGCAAACTGTCAACAGCTAATCACGTCAGATTTATGCCAGGATGGCGCTGATGAGATTATTTTGCCCTCCTTACATATCAGGCCCTCCAGCGCTCTCACCTCTTCTTTGATGCTAACGGGTCAACTTTTGGAAGCAGGGGGGAAGTTTTAAGCCTAAAGACATTTTTTGCATGAATGAACGTCCTTTCTTTCCCCCTGTGATTCATGGATCACAGTGGCTACCAGTCTCTAGGTATAAGATGAGGAGGACAAAAAGCGAAGCTCACACAATCTATCTTCACAAGCAGCATTTTTTCCTGTGAAGACATGCAGAATATACTGTTACAACACATTTAACACACTACATCGGCTTGAAAAGCTGTGTGAAAGGCTTCAAATAAATTGTACAAATGCAACATTTTAACTGCACATGTGCATAAATAGAACCCGACATGTGGCATGAATGGTCTTTGTAGTCCTTTAAATAAAGCCGCTGATCCTGTTAGAGTTATGGGTTTGGCCCTGCTTAGTGAACTATTCACAAGTTGTATCCATTCATTAAAAAAAGCATATAAAGGTGCTTAAAGTCTTAATTATATCTCAGTTATTTCAGGACCTCTTTCACACTTTCACAACAAGATTAGATGACGTTTGGCATCACTTACGCTTGTATGTGGTGCTGTGGGATGACTTAATCAGGTGCTATTACCAGTGTCACTTTATGTGTGGAGAAAGATATGTTAATAAAATTGCTTCTTTTGCACATTTTTCCCATGTATCACACGAAGAGGACGTGCAGATACTGTAAGGGCATCGCCTGGTTCAGGCGCAGCTGAATGGATGGTTAACTGATTGTCCAGTCAGTCCAGAATGAAAGGGATCGAGATTTTATTTCTATTTCTTTAACCAGAAAGTCTCAAGAGATATATTATATCTTTCACAGGGGAGACCTGGCCAAAATAGCAACTTAGAGGAGATTAGAAGGAGTGACATAGAAAAAACATTCTCATGAATCTTTCCCATTATTTTCAGGAAGATGCAACCATTAATACATGTAAATTACAGTGATCCAAATTACAAAATAAAATGCCTAGATGAATTATCACCATAGTCCAGAACAGTTAAAAAGTGTTTTCCTGCAGCAAATGGAAAATATTTCTTAAGAGACCATGGTACTCTACTTCCACAGGATTTCAGAGGGAAATATTTAAATTTTTGTTACTACCGTAGCTACTTTGCAGATTTAGATTATTAATACAAATTATAATCAACAAATAAATTATGATGTGTTTTTATAGATCCCCACCTTTGGAGCTGCAACATAAAAACTGTGCTTACACATGAATACTGTTGAGGAAAGGGGATCTCTTTAAACCCTTATCCTCGCGTGTTCTTTAATGAAGCGATAGGAGAAGATTTAGTTTACTCAAAAATCAGCTTTATTCTTAACACCAGTAGAATGTGCAAA